GTGGGATTGAGATGCTGACGGGCGTCAGCCCTGCCCTCAGAGAGGCAGGCTGAATGGGGGCAGTGCCGGAGAGGACCCTGAGGGGTCAGATGGGAAGTCCCCAGCAGCCCTGCTGCCCCTTTGCAAGGCCACCCCCAAGTGCAGAGCTGAGGGTTGCTTCAGGTCCCTGCCCTGTCCCCTTCCTCCCCAGGTGAGCGGGGCGCAACCCTGTCTGGTGGCCAGAAGCAGCGCCTGGCCATTGCCCGCGCCCTCATCAAGCAGCCCGCGGTGCTGATCCTGGATGAGGCGACCAGCGCGCTGGACTCAGAGTCCGAGCGGGTTGTGCAGGAGGCCCTGGACCACGCCAGCGCTGGCCGCACTGTCCTGGTCATCGCCCACCGGCTCAGCACCGTCCGTGGGGCCCACCGCATCGTCGTCATGGCCCACGGCCATGTCTGCGAGGTCAGCTGGGGTCCGGGGAGCAGGTTGGTGGGTTGGGACAGCTTCAGCCATGGACACAGTGGAATGTGTGGCCCAGCTGAGCTGTGTGAGGGTCTGGCCTGGCCCTGGGGGCGTGGGGCCATATTCTGGAAGCAGCACCCCATGTGGATTCAGGAGTTCCTGCCCTTAGATGAGCCCTGGCCTCTCAGGGCTCCAGGTTCTGCCTCGGTCCCCTGAGGGTAGTAGAACTGCACCATAGCTCCCGGAATCCAAGGGAGGTGTACTCAGAGAAGTGTACGGTGCTGGGGGGACGGGGCTGAGGTGCAGAAGAGGCAGCACCAGGGACCCTGATCAGGGACCAGCCAGGAGCAGCACCCCAGAGGCTGGGTCTGCAGCAGGGCTGGGAGGCTGCGTGGAGCTGGCTCTCAGCCTCCTAGCCACTTGTTCAAGCCAAAGGTGAGGGGGTTTGAGAGGGGCACTGATCCCTGAGTCAGGGTCTCTGGGCTCTGTAAGGGAGACAGGAGGACTCAGATGCTCATCCAAAAGCCAGCTAAGCAGGGAGTTGGCACTTACAAATACAGACGTGCCTGTGGCAATCTGTAACCAACAGTGCTATGGTTTCACTGCCCCCAGAAGGGACATTGGCTTAGGTGATGGTGAGCCCAATGGCTGATTAGAAGCCAGCTCTCCTAGGGCTCTGAACTCGGAGCCAGGTTGGGGTGACCATCTGCCTCTCCTTGCCCTCTCCAGGTGGGGACCCATGAAGAGCTCCTGAAGAAAGGCGGGCTCTACGCAGAGCTCATCCGGAGACAGGCCCTGGATGCCCCGCCTCCTGAGATGCCCCGAGGTCCCAGGAACCGCCACCCCAAGTCCTGAGAGCCGCCCTCTGAGGTCCGGTTGCTGCTGAGCGTTAGCGCCCAGGGCTGGCGCTCGGCTCGGGGAGCTCACAGGGCCTGAGCCCCCGGGAGGGCCAGGTGCTGGGTGTGGGCTGCCGCCACCGCTCCCCTGCTCACAATAAAACCCGCCGAGCACTGGGCTGGGGGGAGGTTGGGACTGCTCCCATCCACTCCCCCTCTGGCTGCCAGGCTGCATGCCTCCTGCCAGAGCCACAGAGTCATTGGGCTGCAGAGGGGAGGAGCCAGAGTTCCCTGGGCCCTGCTCTGTTCTCTGTTTTTGCCCAGACCCTCCCCACCCCTCTCAGAAACCCCGCCGAGTCCCCACTCCACCTGACAGCCTAGTGTCCCCGCAGCTGTGGGGAATTTTACAAATCAGTGTCGGAGGGGTATGGGAATTCAGACTAGGGTCTTCCCCACACCCATGCCAGGACCTCGCTTTCCTAGACTGACCCCCGACACTGCTCCATCCCCACTGCTTCTCTGGGCCCTAGGAGAAGGAGTCCACCCCTTGTGCCAACCCCTCAAACCCATGGTCCCCTTCCTCAGAGCAACTTCCCTTCCTTCTCCCTGCTCCATTAACACAGAGCTTTTGCTCGATTTTGCCCTCCCCCCATCCAAATGGGACAGATGACTAACACACACGCACACCCACCCTTGGGGAGGGTTGGGAGGGGTGGGTGCACTGTGGACGGTCCCACGAGGAGCTCCCAGCCAGTCTGGCCATCTTACCACTGCCCCAGCCCTGCGCACCTCGAGTCTGTCACCCGGTGAGATTGTGCACAGCCCTACTTCTACGGGAGGACACCCAGCTGTACAGAGAAGGAGCTGACACACACCCCAGACTCCAGCCACAGGGCATATGGTGCCAACAGTCACCAAACCACTAGAGAGCCGTTAATGCTTAGCCCCTCAGGCTGACAAAATACACTCAGTCTAAGAAGGAGTGGTTACTGCCAGAGCAGGAGAAGGTGGGACCTGAGCCTCACCTTGAAAGAGGACAGGCCACGTGCCCATGCGGCATGAGTCTGTGGCCCTTAAGCTATGACTGAGGCGGGCCTGGATTCTCTTCAGATTCTAAGGACCTGGGAGCAGCCAGGGTTTCCCACCAGCCCTCCTCATGGACTTTTAGAGCCAGGTGCCTCTCCTGCCCTAGTTCTGCCCATGTCACTTCCCACCGGGAGACCTTCCCCCCACAACAGCCATGTCCAGGCTGAGGACTCCACTGAGCTCTGCTCCCTAGGGTGGGGAAGAGGGTTTGCCTGTGCCGGACCTTCGAGGCCAGCCAAGCATTTTGTATTTATCCTGTGGCACAGAAGAGTGATGCTGTGTTTCAGGGGGGCGGCAGCTGTGTGCAAGATGAACCTGGAAGAGAGGTGTGAGTGCAGGAGCTAGGGGTGAAAGACCCCGCAGCCAGTTCTGGGTGTGGTTTGGGACCAGATGCTACTTTGGGACAAACCACCTGAAATATCCCAGGCCCATGGCCGCTCTGGTTTGGTGCCCCACTTCTTGACTGATCAGAGGTCACATCCCAGGGCAGCCACAGCCCAGGAAGCCGAGCGCGGGCTGGCTCCGAGTTGCTTTGCCACTAAACACACCCCTAGTGCAACCAAGAGCAGGCCTCAGCTCCCCAGCCAAGTCCACACTGGCCTGCCTGGCCCCACCCTGAAGGGAGAGCCGGCCAAGGCAAGCTCCAGCCCAGCCTCAGGCTGCCCGAGACACCCGGCACCAGATTCTAGGTCTCTCCTTACGTCTTCAGGGTGGCCTCTCTGAATCCTGCCTCCCCCCAAGGAAAGTAGGGAGATCCATGGCGAGCCCTGAGCGGGAAGGCCAGGAGCTGCACACTGGCCTTGGAGCCTTAACCTTGACCCTGACTCCCACAGCTAGTCAACGGGGATCGTAAGCCCGGCTGTGCTTCATCTCGAAAGCTTGTTTTAAGAGTTTAAATGGGATAACCTGTGGTAAAGTACTTATAAGTCACCATGCCACAGCCTCAGAAGGTGGTCACATCTGTGCAATAAACTGTGTCATCCACTCATCCTGCCCAGAATATGTGTTCATTAAGCACTTGCCATGTGCTGCCACACCTGCAATGGGGACGAGGACGTCCCTGTCCGTGAAGCCTCTAGTCTTGCAGGACAGATGGGGATGGGTGGTTGCAGCACCGTGTGATGTTCAGTTGGCAAACTACCTTTCTTCCACCGACGGCCAAGAGCCCAATGGGAACCTGGCGGCCATCCCCACAAAATGCTTTGTGGAAGGAGACAGTAGAAATTGCAGTAAATAAATTAATGGAGATAAATGCGCTTTCTCCCAGGCCTACGGTGCAGCGTCTCCCTGTTCCCAGATACACGGGGGTCAGGTGAGCAATTAACCAAACGCAGAGCTTGGCACTGACGAGGACCAGGCCCTGACACAGTCCTCCATGTGGCGTGTCTGGGCTGACTCCTGTGGCCCTTAGCTGCCCGGTCCTCCTGCTGCTGCGCCTTGTCCCCCGCACCTTGTGTCCCCAAGGCATACTCATCCCACTTCAGGCCGGCTGGCACTAACCTTGCAGAAGGCAGCTCTGCTTTCTGGAGGTGTCTGCTCTAGCTGCAGGGAGTCCTCCCCGCCAACCCTCACCCCGCCCCCATCGTCTCTCTGGTCTGGATCATCTGAAGCATCTTCAGTCAAATGTGCTGGCCCTGCCTTCTCAAGGCCAGTGCTGTCGAGCCGTCCTAGGCACTGTGGCCAGGGCACCCCAGCCGGTTTAGGGGCACAGTGTCTCTTTAGAAAAGCCCCGTGAACAACAGGCAGACTCCCATGTTACTGATAGGAGTGCAAGATGGTGTAGCTCCCACGGTGGGGAATTTTGTGCATTCATCAGATTACCCAGGCAGTTGCCTCTTGACCCAGCAGTTTTATTTCTGGGAGTTTACGTCTGTGCAATGGTACTAAGAGCACCGTTGTTGGTACTGGAAAACTGGAAACCCCCGGTGTTAGGGGCGTGGTTACAGGAGCGATGGTGCGTCCACACAACGGAATGGTGTGTAGCCGTTTAAAAAGGGGGGAAGTTTTCCAGGTACTGGATATCACATGGTCTCCAGAATGTATTGTTAATTGAAAAGATGTGAAACCATAGGGCACCCATGTTATACCTGGGAGAGTAGCAGGTGAGCCCACAATCATTGTGGCAGAGGCCAACCTCCCAGATGAGGGGTGAATGTGGGGTGGTGGGAAAGAAGGCCGCTCGAGAGACAGACCACCCCTTGACATGGGACTAGAAGAGGCCCTGGCTATCTAATGTTGGCTGGGACACTGGGGGCTCAGAGGAGACTGCCGATGCCAAACTTCCCACCACTTTCCAGCTTGGTCAAGAGCCAGCTCTGCTCTTTGTGAAAGAACAAATGATCCTGGGTGAGGTTAGTGGAAAGGGAGGAGAAATGAGAGGAGGGAGGGGCTGGCCCAAGGGTCAGTGACTGACTCTCAAGCTGGACATACAGGGGCTGCAACTGGGAGCCCAGAGGGCCCCGAGGGCACCCCCAGCCCCAACTATCTCTGGGCTCCCCTCAAACCCTCCCCAGAAATGCTGTGGTTTCCTGCTGGCGCCTCTGATCTCCACGGCCACGGGCCCACGCTGCACTAATGGCTCAGCCTGGGGCTCCAGGGACCTCCCCCGCCCCCCAGACTGCTCTGCGGCCCCCTTGCCCCCTCACTGCTGAAACCCAATCCTCTGCGGCAGCTCAGGCTCAGCAGAGCAGCCTCCAGCAGAGCGGTCCTGCTTCCGCATCGCTGCGCGCCACCTGGTCTTTGCTGCGGAGCCCCCAGCCCAGCGCCGAGCCTAGCAGAGCCTCAGCCTGTGCCTGGAGAAAGTCAAGCTGGACCAGCCAGGCCACCACATCCAATCCCGCCAGGCCAGTGCCTCCCCACCTCGGTCTGGGCTCCTCTCCTCCACCTTCTCCTCTCCTCACCTCACCTGCAGTGACCCCTGCCTGGCCACCAGAATCCTCTCAGCCCCTCCTGGTCCTCAGACTGACCTTCTCTCTTCTAAGCCCCTGCAGTCTGGTCACCACCCCCAGCCCTCTTAGTCCCCTCACCTTGGGCTCCAGCCATGAAGCCCCCTTCAGGGCCAGCGGAGGCCCGGCAGCCGGCCTCGGACATCCGCATGTTCGCCAGCAGCTGCACACTGCACGGGCTGGGCCATGTCTTTGGCCCTGGGGGCCTGACCCCGCGCCGGGGGCTGTGGGCTGCGGCTGTGCTCCTGTCGCTGGCTGCCTTTCTCTACCAGGTGGCTGAGAGAGTGCGCTACTACGGGGAGTTCCACCACGAGACAGCCCTGGACGAGTGCGAAAGCCACCGGCTCACCTTCCCGGCAGTCACCCTGTGCAACATCAACCCGCTGCGCCGCTCGCGCCTCACACCCAACGACCTGCACTGGGCCGGGCCCACGCTGCTGGGCCTGGAGCCTGCCGAGCACGCCGCCTTCCTGCGCGCCCTGGGCCGGCCCCCCGCACCCCCCGGCTTCATGCCCAGTCCCACCTTCAACACGGCCCGACTCTATGCCCGGGCTGGGCATGCCCTTGAGGACATGCTGTTGGACTGCCGCTACCGCGGCCAACCGTGTGGGCCTGAGAACTTCACCTCGGTGAGCTGGGCACTCGGCCCGTCCTGCCAAGGACCCAGGAGCGCCAGCCAGTCCCTGCCCAGGACTGGCAATCGCCAGCCTTGCCAGCCCAGGCTCCCCAAAGCCAGGGAACCTTAACACCCATGCCTGGGGATCCTCTTTCCCAGCCAGACCACGGCTCCTCACCCCACTGGCACCCTTCTGTTCTGCCCAGGAAGCTGTCCTCCTTGGGGCCCCCTCCCTGTCACTCAGCACGGGCACTCACCCAGGCTGGCCCCGGCCCACAGTCTGGTCTGTGGAGACCTTGCTCCTGGGAGGTAGGGGGACTCTAGAGGGACTGTCCTAGGGCAGAAGACCACTCTCTCCGCCAGGGAGAGGGGGCTTGTTTTCCCTCTGCCTCTCCAACATTCTGCCAGTCCTGAGGAGGGCAACTAGGACCCAATTCCTTTTACACCAGTCTCCAAAGAAACATTTGTCCTGTAGGCAGTGCCCTGGGCTTGGGGGCCGGGGAGGGGGTTGGAGTGATGGGAGCCCATGAGGGTCCACTACATGTACCTGGATGAGGGAGGGGCTGGGGTCATTGAGATGTGGGCTTCAGTGTTCAAAGAAGTGATCCAAAGAAAAGATGGGGCAGGGAGAGATCCCCTGGTCCCCGTGTTTGCTGGAGAAAAGGGCTAGCCGGGCTTCCTGTTCCCTGGTGAGTTCTGTCCTCCATGCCTCCCCAGATCTTCACCCGGATGGGGCTGTGCTACACCTTTAACTCCGGGGCAGACGGGGCAGAGCTTCTCACTACTCCCAAGGGCGGTGCGGGCAACGGCCTGGAGGTCATGCTAGACGTGCAGCAGGACGAGTATCTGCCTGTATGGAGGGACATGGGTAAGCGAGCACACGTTTGAGGCTGGGGCTGGCACAGATGGGTGCAAAAGGCTCTGGGAAGGAGAGGAGGTGCTGGGGAGGGCCCCGAAACATGGCCTTTCTTGTGAGGAGGGGGTGGGGTTGGCCCATCACAGTCCTGGGGAGAGGGGGCTGCAGCAGGGGGTCTCCTGGGACCCACGGCTCAGGATCCCCCTCCCCGCACAGAGGAGACCCCATTTGAGGTGGGGATCCGAGTGCAGATCCACAGCCAGGAGGAGCCGCCCATCATCGACCAGCTGGGCTTTGGAGCGGCTCCCGGCTACCAGACTTTTGTGTCCTGCCAGCAGCAGCAAGTATGCTCATCCGGGCCCCCAAACCCCCCCAAGTCTCCCAATCCCCTCCTTCAGCCCACACAACCTCCGACCCCAACCCCCCAGCTCCTCAGACCCATCCTGGGGGCCTCCACCCCACAGTGACCCTCACATTCTATCTGGGTCTCACACTTCTCCCAGAAGTCTCCTTAACCAGTCTCTCTATAGCTGAGCTTCCTGCCACCTCCCTGGGGCGACTGCAGCTCTGTATCTCTGGACCCCGACTTCGAGCCGGAACCCTCTGGTCCCCTGGATCCCCCCAGCCCCAGCCCAGGCCCCAGCCCTCCCTACAGTCTAATGGGGTGTCGCCTGGCCTGCGAGACCCGCTACGTGGCTCGGAAGTGTGGCTGCCGAATGATGCATATGCCTGGTATGGGGCTGGGAGAGTGGCGGGGGTGGGGGGGAGACGACGGGGTGGGGCCTGGGGAGCCGCTCCTGAAGCTGTCTCCTCGCCCCCACCCCAGGCAGCGCGCCAGTGTGCAGCCCCCAGCAGTACAAGGACTGTGCCAACCCGGCGCTCGGTAAGGGGAAGCCTCCCCTGCATCCAGTCCCCACTCCGCTTGGCCCTAGACCCCGACCCCGCCTGGCCAGCGGCCCTGACCCGGGCGATTGTGGTCCACAGACGCCATGCTGCGGAAGGACGCGTGCGCCTGCCCCAACCCGTGCGCCACCACGCGCTACGCCAAGGAGCTCTCCATGGTGCGGATCCCGAGCCGCGCCGCCGCCCGCTACCTGGCCCGGAAATACAACCGCAGCGAGGCCTACATCGCGTGAGCCGGGCTGGGCCGGGGGCCCGGAGCCGGGAGCCGGGACCCGGGGCGGGGCGGGCGCCCTCCTCCGGGCCGAGCCTTCGGGCGCACACTCGGGTGGGACACAAGTCTGCACACCATCACCGGGGCTCTGGGACTCTGGGCAAGCCGCTTAGCCTTTATGACGCCGTCTCTTCTGCCAACAGGGGCGGTGATGCCCCTCTGAGGGTTCTTGAAAGGAGTCAGAGACCAGAGAACGTGCATCTGTTTCCTGCTAGCAGCTGGCACCAGAGGGTGTCCAGAGAACTTTCCTGGCCTCTCTTTTTCTCCAGGGAGAACGTTCTGGTGCTAGACATCTTCTTTGAGGCCCTCAACTACGAGACGGTGGATCAGAAGAAGGCCTATGAAGTGTCAGAGCTGCTCGGTGTGTGTGTGCGTGTGTGCAGGGCACCCCGAGGTCTGGGGAGGTGTGGGCAGAGCAGGTGGCTGTGAGCTGACTGGTGATCCCATCCTGCAGGCGACATTGGGGGCCAGATGGGGCTGTTCATTGGGGCCAGCCTGCTCACCATCCTTGAGATCCTGGACTACCTCTGTGAGGTGGGTCCAGGCCTCAGCTGGGCGAGGGGGAAGGAATCAAGCCCTAGAATCCAGGCGAAGGTGCGTGCTGGCCACCTCCCCCATTGCTTGCCCCCAGGTGTTCCGAGACAGGGTCCTGGGATACTTCTGGAACCGAAAGGGCTCCCAAAGGCACTCCAGCACCAATCTGGTAACAGCCCTTCTTCCTCCTCTGCCATCTCCACCGTGGGTTCTCTGCTCCTCCCCCTGAAGCCTAGAACACCATCCCCAGCCAGCTGAGACACAAACAGAGTGGTGGGGGAGGGGCATGCAGTGACCTTGGCTGGTCCCTGAGGGAAGGACCCCTCCCCTCCTCTGACCCTCTCCCTCCTCCCACAGCTCCAGGAAGGGCTGGGCAGCCATCGAACCCAAGTTCCCCACCTCAGCCTGAGCCCCAGGTAACACAAAATGACCCCCTAAAGTCAAGGGAGGAGGGGCAAGTCTTGTCCAGAGGGTGAAGTTCAGGTCCAGGAGGGCAGGGGCAGGAGCAGGGCAGTGGGTGCGAGGCCTCTTGTCCCAACACTGTGGTCTGTGTCTCACCAGGCCTGCCACCCATCCCTGTGCCGTCACCAAGACTCTCTCTGCCTCCCACCGCACCTGCTACCTTGTCACACGGCTCTAGACCCAGTGACTGTCTCTCCAGGGCTGCACCCTGACACCTTGGACATGCCCAGCCTACACGTCTTTGCCATCTTCACCCCAAATAAAGTTCTAGTGCATCAGTCTCAGCTATTGCTCTTACAGGCAGTCTAGTCAGGCCAAGGTCAGCCCTACTCAGGCAGAAGATGACCTACCAGCCATCATCCAGCGGACTTGGTGTCTGAAATGTGGGCTGGGTCCCAGTTAACCTCCAGAAATCTCTCTGGGAGAGAAGAGTAGTAAGAGGGCATCAGTCATTTGCACCTCAGTGTGAATGAGTTTATCAGACTGACGTCTCAGAGAGAATGGAGGCCAAAGCCAGGTGCGCGGGCAGAGAGGAGTCAGCACTAGGACAGTCCCACTCAGGGTGCTGTAAGGGAATAGCTGGAAGAAGGCTCTGACCCAGAGCCCGGCAGGAATGGGGAAGCAGGCAGGGGGAAGACAGAGGGACTGAGTACCCACTTCCCAGGACACAAGCTGCTGTCCTGCCTTAGATCATGACTCTTTTTCTCACATTTGGGACCAAGCGCTAGCCCACCACCTGTCTCCAGGGGAACAGCTCTTGCTTCCCCAGCCTCCCCACAAGAGCAGGAGGTCTCAGCTTGAGAAGGTGGAGGAAGGCCCTCCCTTCCCACTCCTGCCAGTAAGGACAGACCCAGGCCCCAGCCACGGCCCACTGTCCCTGCTCTCTGTACCCCACATATTAGAAAACTGACAAATAAGGGAGCAGGGGAGGGGGTGTTCCTGATCTAACCACATCTTTGGGGCTCTCCTGTCCCAGCCTGCAGGCCTAGGTATGGGGGCATGAGGAGGGAAGGGAGAGGGCGGGTACACGTGGGATACGGAGAACCGCAGGAAAGGTCTGGCCCTTTTCTCCCCATTCTGACAGAAGTCCATCCTTGCTCTCAGACACCTGCGGCATAACCCCTCAGGACTGGCTCAGGCCCTCCTGGGCAGAGGGGAAAGGGATGTGTCCGAGTGCATTAAGTACGTGCGGGGGACAGCACTGCCCCTGGGCCCAGCCTTAAGGGGTGAGGGTCACAGCCTCCAGCCCCCGGCCTCGGGCAACTTAAGAGTAGCGGAGCAAGGACGAGACAGTTGGGTTGTGGTTGAGCTGGAAGCAGGATTGTACAGGGCAGTCAAGCAGAGCAGAGCCCCCCACCAAAGCCCACCCCGTCTCAGATCCACTCTACCACCACATCGGCTAGACTGTGGGAAAGGAGCCAATTTATGAAATTAAATAAAGTCCATGGAGGGAGAGAACACAGCTCGAGCCCCTCCCCCCAGCCAGGCCCAGCACAGCTGGAGCTCAGCACACTGGGCAGCCCTGCCTTCCTTCCCCTCCCGAGAAGGGGCTTAAATAGGCCAGGCCCCAGCCCGGCGGCTGGGTCCTGGAGCCTAGGGGGGGCAGAAATCAGAGAAGTAGGGGTGCTGCAGGGCCTCCTCTGCTGAGATGCGCTGGACGGGGTTACACTTCAGCAGGTTCTGGGCAGGAAAGAAAGGTGTAGCAGGTTCAGGCCTGGTCAGCCGCCCAGAGCCCCGCCCTCCCCCAGTACCTCTAGAAAAGTGTCCCAATCCCACCTCTACCCCTGCCTTTGGTCACCTGCAGCAGATCCCTCCCTGTGGCATTGAGCTTGGGTACGACGTTCACCAGGGACGTTGTGGCTGGGTACATTGGGTAGGGCTGTGGGGGGCAGGGAAAGTCAGACCAGGGGTGTGGAGCATGGAGGCTGCTAGGGCTGTGACATAAAAGGGACCACTGATGAACCAGGACCCCCCATTTCCCATCACACCTTATAGTCTGGCAGCTTAGTCATGGCGGGCCACTGCTCCTCGGTGGGTGTCCCCAGCAGCGTGTCCACGGGGTCAAGGCTCACTCAGGTGGAAAGGGGCAGGGTGAAGGGGTCTTCCCCTCCCAGGGGGATTCCTGATACCCACCCCTACCCTCTTCACTTATCCCCCAGCTCACGGCAGAAGCAGGCCCCAACGTGTGAGACTCTCATTCAGTCCCACCTGCACGGTGTTTACTGCGGGCCACTAAACCGCCCTTTACAAACGGTAACTGCTTTGACCTAAAGCCTGATGTCCGTGGTCTTGATGAACCAGTCAGCCTTCCCCTACACCCACAAATCATCCTCCTGCTCCTTCTGGCTCCTTCATCCTAAGGATTCACCTCTCAGCTGGAGGAGCATCCTCTTGGTTTCTTCCCCCAACGAGCCCTCTTTATCTACGTCACACATTCTCCAGCTGGCAGCATGCATTTGCACTGTGGCAACCAGGGGTGTCTACTACCCTCTGCCCTCCAGCCATTTGCTCACTCTCAGGGGAAGCCCCGCAGCGCCCCCTACCCCGGCCCAGCCCATCATAACCCGCACACCAAGTTCCACGGGCTTGTTACCCCCCTTTCAGAGGGCTCAGGGAAGGGAAATGGAAGGATATCGGAAGATCCTCTTCAACTGGTCATCTACATCATTGCCAGGGAAAAGCGGCCGCCCTGCATTGGCCAGCTCTGGAAGAAAGAGGAGGGGGTGAGAGATGACACATGAAGCGCCCCTCACTCCCACGGCATGCTGCGTGCTTTCCTCCCCATCCCCAAGGGCTCCACTCCCTGCCCCAGAGGTGACCCTCCAGACCCTATTTGTGAACTCAAATGGGAGAGAAAGTGCCTCTGCAGACCCCCAGCATGTCACCTGCAAAGATGCAGCCAGCTGACCACATGTCGATGGACGTGGAGTAGAGCTTGGCGCCAAAGAGGACATCCGGTGGGCGGTACCACAGCGTGACCACCTAGAGAAGACCCCACCCACAGGGACCCCCTACTTAGAGGGCTGGGGAGGAGGAGGCTCAGAGAGGAGAGGAAAATACTGTCTTGGGTGCCGGGAGATGCTCACTGGGGACTCCCTCCCTCACCCCCATAACCCAGCCCCCCAGCTCACCTCAGCTGAGTAACAGCGAACAGGGATCCCAAAGGCTCGAGCCAACCCGAAATCAGCCAATTTCAGCTCCCCATTCTGAGGCAGATGGGAAGGGACATGGAAAAGGGCTTTTCAACAGTCTCAGGCCAGGCCCCACGCTCCCACCTTCCAGCCCCGCTCCCCTGCTTCTCTCATCGCCCGCTGGCCCTCGGCTCCAACCTCCCCAGTCTCCCCACTTCTCCCAGAGAGGTACCCTGTTTATGAGCAGGTTCTGGGGCTTCAGGTCCCTGTGCAGCACATTGCGGCTGTGACAGAATCCCAGGCCCTTTAGCAGCTGGAAGAGGAATGACTGGGGGAGGGGCAAGGAGGAGGGCATTAGACCCTCTGGAGGGGACGCTGTACCCAGCAATGGAGGTGCTCCCCTCTTCACCTCTGCTTTGCCTCGAACCCACGCATCTTTCAGCACCAAGCCCAGTGCGACATCACTCAGTCACTATGGAGCCCCTACTCTGTGTTGGGCTAGGTTTTAGAACTAACAGTGAACAGGGGCCCTGGTCCCTACCTTTCTGGAACTTACAGCCTAGTGGGCTTTCCTACCTTCCCAGCCCACACTGACCTCTTCCCTCCCTGGCCTCATTTGAACAAACACAACATAACCTCAACATATATATTGTTCCGTATTATTATTATTATTTTTTTAATTTTATTTATTTATTTTATTTCCCCCAAAGCCCCAGTAGATAGTTGTATGTCACAGCTGCACATCCTTCTAGTTGCTATATGTGGGACGCGGCCTCAGCATGGCCGGAGAAGCAGTGCGTCGGTGCGCGCCCGGGATCCGAACTCGGACCGCCAGCAGTGGAGCTCGCGCACTTAACCGCTAAGCCACGGTGCCGGCCCCTGTATTATTATTATTAAGCACTTGTTTCCCCTGGAACCTGGGACAAGGTACTTGGTCTTGGGCCTGGAATAGTGCTTGGCACACAGCAAAGCATTCAATAAGTATTTGTTGAATGAATGAATGTATCTCTTTGAATTTTACTTTCTCATCTCTCAAGGGTAAGTCATATCATTGACATCAGAGAGTTTACCGTCAGGTCAAAGAGATCACGTGAAAATGATCACAAAGATGGAGGTTCCTGGAGGGGAGAAACAGGTTTTCTCAATCGCTGACATCCCAGAGTGTCCCTGTTTAGGGCCTGAACTTGGTGCTCAAAGAGTGGGTACACTGAATATCGACTCCAACCCCAGCCTTGATGAGTCCCCAGAACACCAAGCCCCTCACCTTCACAATTTCAGGATCTAGGTCACCATTACAGCTGTCAAAATACTTCTTAAGGTCCTGAAAAGGGATGGGGGTGGGGTAATGGGACAGAGGTTAAGCTCAGTCTGGGCCCTATACCCTCCCAAGGCTGCTGTCCCCCAAACCCCCTTTCACCTGGTCACAGAACTCAAAAACCAAAGTCAGCTTCTTGTCGCTGTGCAGGACGTCATGAAGCCTAGGCAGAAGGGAGGGCTCAGCCAGGCAGCTCCACAAGTTTGCGCCTAATATCCCACTATCAGCCCATCTCTGAAGCCCCCACCTCCTTCAACTGACCACACAGGCAAGGAGAACACTGCCGGTCTACACACCTGACAATGTTCTTGTGCTTCAGCTCTTTAAGCAGGCAGATTTCCCGAAGGGCAGAACTCGGCACTCCCTAGACATGGGAGGGGGCCAGGTGGGCAAAGTCACATCCCACCCAGCCTAGGCCCTTGACCCCCTCCCTGGCCCTGATGCCCCAGTCCTACCTCATCATCATCATCCAGCCTCACCCGTTTCAGAGCCACGATCTCATGTGTCTCCCGGTTTTTGGCCTTGAACACTGTTCCGTAGGTGCCTAGAGGAAGGAAGTCAGGGGTGAGGGAAAGGATGGGGCACCCTTCCCATACCAGGAAGTCCCTCTCAGGAGGGAAGGCAATGTGGGAGTGTATTATTTCTGATGCCTGGAGGAGTAAGGGAAGAGATTCAGGGTGAAGGCCGGGCCTGGAAGAGCTTTGTGAGTAGGAATGTGGCAGAGAAGGTGCTTGCACAGGGTCAAGGATGTTTGCAGTAGGCAGAGGCTGCAGCTGCCAGGGTTGGAGGTCTATAAAGGCAGTGCTTGGAGAGGGTCTGGAAATAGTGAGC